TATCGAGCAAGACTAGGAACTGCAAAAACTTTACGTTCGCGCACTTTTCAAGAAAGGAAAAATGGCAATCTTGAGGCCGTACAAGTCATAAAACGGAAGTACAATTTAAAAAGAATGGAGAAATCGTGCACTTTATACACGTATTAAGTAAAAAATTTAAGCCTATAAGCGGTTGCTCATAATCATTTGAGGTTAGTACGTGAGACGACTGTCAAGAATGTTCTGAAGCTGTACAGGTTGTAAGTTTGTACTTGGGTTTCGCAAAGGTCTTTTAGTTTCAACCGACCCCTTTGCTTAATATTGTGCACTTCCCTTTCAGACGTTTTAATGGTATTCAAAGATTGTGCAAAGCGATGTTTTGCGATGTTTTTTATGCGCCTGAACCCTATATCATCTGACTACATGGCGTTTTTCACACCATAAAAAACGATATTATTGTCCATATTTATGATAACTTAGTCTTCTTCTGCTTCGTCTTCTAAAGGGTTTGCATTGCCACTTCGTCCGTTTCAAAAGATACCATGAGTGCGTATTTTGGTTCCTCATTAAGCGTTAGCCTGGCCGAAACATCCGACAGTTCCCACGTCGACTTCGACGATGGGCAGCCGCTTGCTCCAACAAGCCGCAGCAAACGCTGAAGCCAGCCTAGGCAGACACAGGGAAAGTTATGCAAACTGCATGAAGGCCACAGCAAGCAGAAACACTGCAGCGAACTACCGCGATTGAATACAGGAGTTAAAACAGACTGGCGGGGAATATACACATTTGCTTGCCGCTTCCACCTCCATTCCGATAAAGAGAAAAGATCAATTAGACCGGGGATTAGGTAGCGTGCGGATGGCTGGCGCGATGTTCACTCATCACGCGCGCACTTGACTCAGCCAACTCGCTCGGTATGCTTCCGCAGGAGCGCCATAAAGGCTACATTAAGAAGGAGGCATTGCAGCCTGATTCTCAGTCCTACATCTCCTCACATACGCTTACACAAACACATGCGCACTAGAGAAGCAGAAACATAGGTGACTCGAGTTCTCCCGTCAGTTGGCAAACCCTCCTATTTACGGCTCTTAGCGCATCGTGATAGATTCAAGCGCATTCGGATTTAGTATAGTGAGGTAAGAAACGCGCTGAGGGTCGACCTCACTCTCTTCTCCACCGTCTAACCACCGCTTGGCTGCT